AGACCTCGTTGGAGAGAGGAAAAATCTCCTTGGCGGGTGGACTGGAGTAGTTTGAGTTCAAACGAACCAGGATAAAAATCAATGTGTGCTTTCCATTGAATTTTGAGATCCCAATTCACCCCCCCCCCCTCTTGTGTTTTCCCCTTCTTCAATTGGTATCAGAGCACCTGGATCTGGGTGCAAACACTTAATTGTATCAGAAAAAGATCCAAGGAGGAAAAGGTTATCACAACCAAGTGTTGAAGACTCTAAAGATGCAGCTCTGAAGACTTGAAGTTTTGATGACCTGATGTTATGTTTCCTCTTCTAAACTCATTCTCGCATAAGCCTCTGAAGTGCATAAGGAAAGAATATAATGTTAACGTGGTATAATCAACATTTCATTCCACTAACATGAAAGGATGGACACGTCGTACGATCTTGTCCCCCGTGTTATTGTTCAAGCTGCCAATGTTTCTTGAAATACCAAGAGTACCCCCTCAATGAATACATTATTTTATTGGCTATATAAAGGCTTGAAGACTAAGAGAGAAAGCTTCCAATTCACTGAATATTCATGCGCAAACGTTGTTCATAGCTTTCACATTTTTAAGCCACTATTCATAAAATAGATTACATATCCAGCTTGTGTAGAAGCAATACTCTTGTGAACAAAATTTGTATTCAAACATTTGTTTGATTTTCCTTAAGGGACTGGGTAGGTCTGTATTCTTGAGAAGTCTAGAACTTGCGAGTTTTAGAAGTTGTTAGTCACTTGCGGGTAGCTTGTGCATTGTAATAATCAAATTGATTATTGTTTGATATTCCTTAAGGGATCGGGTAGGTCTGAATCCTTAAGAAGTATAGGGCTTGCGAGTCTTAGAGGTTGTTAGTCACTTGCGGGTAGCTTGTGCAAATTGTAATCAGTTTGGTTAGGGAATTAAGTCCTCTATTGAGTGAAGTGAAATCACCTTGGCGGGTGGATTAGACCAGCTTGTTAATTTTCAAGTGAACTATTATAAACATACATTGTTCTTTACTTCCTATTCTTACTTATTGTTATTATCAAGCGTGGAGAAAAAAGAATTTTAACTCAAAGGAGAATACTTTTAAAGAAAATTTTTTGTTTTAAAAACCTAATTCGAACCCACCCTTTCTTGTGTTTTTCACACCTTCACAACTAATCTGAAGAACAACTTCTTTGCGAGTGAAAGCTTTTATGATCCACTATGTCTTAATGTGATCTTGATTTCTGTTAATCAGCTTTTCTGAAGCAATAACTTATATCAGTACATCTGATTTTGACGTTGAGTTCTTTCTTTCTGATTTCTTGAATTTTGATCTTTGAATTGAACTAAAAGAAACAACTTATATAAGCTACATCTTTGTTTCTTATCGTGAATTCTTTCATTTCTGATCTTTGAATTTTGATCTTTGGATTGAGCTGGAAGAAATAACTTATGTCAGCTATATCTTGGTTTGTGATCATGAATTATTTCTTTCTGATATCTGAGATATTCGTTTCTGATATCTTGAGGTCTTCAATTCTAAGCTCTGATTTCTGATATCTTTGTTCCTGAGCATCTTCATTTCTTATATCTTCATTCTTGATATTGAGCTGTAAGTAACGGCTTTTATCAGCTACTCTTTTGATTTCTGATATCTTGACTTCTTGATTCTGATTCTAAGTTTATCTTTGAATCTTGACTTCTTGGCTCTTTGATTTTTGACCTTTTTAAAGCATGAGCTCTTCTTAGAAACTAATCGAGATTCTTTTCTTGTCGAACATTCAGTATTCAACAGAACTACTATTGTTTCATTAGAAACGAGCTCAATGGTTTTATTTCTGAGTGCTAAAGTAATTTTGATGATATCTTGATTAAGACTATCAAGAATTCTAATATCTGCACACTCAATGAAACCATTAGAACTAAAATTGTTCTTCATTAAATATATGCATTGTTATCATCAAACGATAGAGATTTAAACACAAATCCAAATCTTGTTCTAACAATTTTCACACCAAATCAATTCAAAATTACAGATTTCTCAAATCATAACAAACTCATATTTTTATACCATTAATAGCTAACATGACAAACAAAGGAAGCATACGCGAGTTTCAGTTCATTGAGATGTTGGGGTCATGGGCCGACCCGTTTCGTATTTGCATCAACACCATTATTATTTCACCATCACGCCCCTACTGATCTCCCTTAAACACAATTCAGGCTTTTAATTTGAGGCCCAAGTATACTTGTTTCTTCACATCACACCGTTGCTTTCAAAACCTCCAGTGTCTCACATGGAAACATAACTGGGCTTTCAACCTTGGCCCGGTTTCATTAAGATCCACACCATTGTTTTACTTAAACCACCCCTATCTACTCCTCATTGTAATAATAGTTGGGCACTTAGCCCATTGGCCCAATCTTTATTCACTTTCACAAACCTTATTTTATTTTTAAACACCTACTTCATTTCCTATTTTAATTGATTAAATATGTTTTAATTTATTAATCTTAGTAATTAAACTTTAACTATATTAATTAATTAATTAATTAAATTCATTTTAATTAATTAATATTGTTAGTTGATTTTTAATTTGATTAATTAGTTAAATACATTTTAATTGATTAATTAAATCCACGATAAAATCAACATTTCCAATCAAGGAGTATTTTCAAAATCATTCACACCATCATCCACCCAATAAAACTAATTCATTTTCAATAAAATAAAAACATTTTCACAAAATAAAAACAATTCTTAATCATTTTCAATCAAATGCAAATCAAACTTTGGTAAACACCAAGTTTTTTTCAAAATTAAACCAAACCATTTTCAAAAAGTCTAAACACTTGGTCAACACTAAGTCCATTTTCAAAATTAAACCAAATCATTTTCAGAAAGTCAAAACACTTGGTCAATACCAAGTTTATTTTCAAAATTAAATCAAACCATTTTCAAAAAGGCAAAACACTTGATCAACATTAAATTCCTCTTCAACTCGAAACTAATCCAAAAACCTTTCACCTCAAGAATGAAATTTTCCAACACTTATACGTGTTGACTATCTCTTTTAACACTTGTTCATGTTGTTCTTTTCGTCTGTGTAAAAACCTAAACCAACTTAGAGTAGTTTCCAGAATTACGTACATCTTGAGTTCCTCATTGCATCAGAGGATACATAAGTGAAATTCAACGTCTGGTCAGACCATATTTTTCTTTTTCTCAACACTCGTCCGTGTTGACTCAAACGACTTACAACCTTTTTCCTTTTTTCTCCAACACTCGTTCGTGTTGACTTAGACAACCTACAACCTATCTTTTTTAGCACCCTTTCTCCAACACTCGTCTGTGTTGGTCTAGACACTCGTCTGTGTCACTCAAAACCCTAGCTTAATTTTAACCAAGAACTACGTAAGCTTGTACCTTCCCTTTGCATTCAGGAACACGTAGGCACAAGGTTCTGAAATCTTATCGAGTACAATAATAATAAAAAAATAAAAAAAAATTATTTTCTTTTCTCCCTTTCTTGCCTAATAAGTAGAAGATCCTACGTAAACATAAGTTAACAATATTTCGCAAAATTAACTAAATAGATCTTGTTTAGTGCAACAAATGTGAGGGGTGTTATTACCTTCCTCTTACATAACTGACTCTTGAACTCTATTTTGGTTGTGATGACCATATCGTCGTTTGTTTCTAGGTTTTATCGATATTTTTCCATTCCTATGAAATAAATAAAGTTTAGTGACGACTCTGTTTGTATTTCGAATGTGCAATGCGCTCAAATATTTTTTCGTGTCGTAATAGTTACCAACTTGTAAAAAGCTTGCAACGAGAGGTGCCTTAGGAGGTTTGCAACAGGTTGTTTGTCCCTTGTGTATCATCCTGGAAGAGATAGTGCATCACTTGTTCTTTCACTGTCTGGCTGTTGTACATGTGTGGTGTTTGGTTACTAATTGACTCGGTCTCAAGGAGCTAGTTGGTGTTGGCTCAATCCAAACCTGTTTGCAGTAAGTTCGCTCGTGGTTAGCTGGTTCAATTAGTAAGAAGTTTCATATATTGTATATTCATTTTATCTATTTTTCTTCTAAAAATTATCAATATTATATTTCTTGATAATAAAGTATACTATGTTTTTCGTTTCATAAAAAGTATCTCATATATATTAACAACAAAAAACTAGTAAGCCCAAAGGAATAATTAAGAATGGTATTAAGAAAATGAGAATGAATATACGAATTTAGATCCGCATAAGAGGGTTGGAGTTGGAGCATCTTATATAAATGCAAAACTTTATACTACATGTAGATATGCTTATAGTTTAATGTTTTTTCATAGAAACACTGCACGCCACAACTATAGTATTCATCAGAGACACATTATTCTCACAAGTTGCATCTATAAAATCATAAATCTATAAGAAAAATTTAACAGTTGCTTCATGTCATTGAATGGAAGCAATATACACACATACTTATTGTTACAAGTTGGTTTATAATACCATATTTCTTGGAAAATTTAACTTCATATCCTTCAAAACTATATATTTATGCATGTGGCTAGCAATTTTTTTGAATTATTATAGTAACCAACTTGCTCAATTATTGGCTTATAATTCATCGACTTTCATATTTTGAATGCATATTTTTGTTTTCTTATGTTTAAATATCATACACTTGGAATATACTATATTTGAAAGTTAGAGCTTCAAAATTTAAATATAATAAACTAGTTTGTGGTAAAGTTTTTTTTAATGCATGTACAATGACATGTTTTCATCATCAACTAATTAGATTTTGGATTCAAACCAACAAACAATTCATTAAAAATAATCATGTTTGAAAATTATCTTACGTAAGATTTAATAAACCGTGACAAATATTTAATAAGATACATTTAATTACATTTTAATTGTGTTAAAATTATGATTGTTTTTTACGATTACGAACAAACTTGTGATTATATAAAACAAAACATGTTTAGTATAATATATAAAATTATATTAATATTTACAAGCGGAAACTTGATTGTTTTTTACATACAAAGTCGTGATTAGGAGAAACTTGAAACACATTTTTAATTTGTTCAAATCTTTCAGACATAAACAAACTTGACAAGTTTTTCAATGCTGATGAAACCTTTACTTCAGCTGTAAACAATGCCTTAACAGGCCTATGATCTGATAACTTTGATTCACTTCTTGAATACTCAATTTGTTTTAAACCATTGCCAAACCATATAACTCTGTCACACCTAAAATGAAGATTAAAAAAATATATATATATAAGAAACTTTGAAACCTTATAATATCAAATCAATTATGTTTAAATATTAGCATAATATTATGTCTCTTAATTATACCATGCTGGTGTTCTTTTCTTTGCTGGCTTTTTGTTTCCATGATAACAACATCCATAGTACAAATCTGAATTTGGAAAATACTTGTAGGTTGGAGCAAATTTGATAATTCCTTCATGCCAACCTCTTAAAATGTGTCCACTAACTAGCTCCATCTTTAGCTTCAATTTCATCATCACTATGTTAGAAGAATATACAAATATATACTTATAATATAGATACATGCATACATAGTATATGGACATATATATACATATATATACCTGGTCATTTTCTAATAGGGAATCCCAGTCTCTTTTTTCAACCAATGAACGTGTAGTTTCTTCCGGCATAGAAATTCTATAATTTAAATCTCCAAGCAATATTACATGACTGCACCAAAATATGTCAACATTAATTAATTGCTTAAAATAATACAACATGCATATTTTATCAATAAATAATAATACAACATGTAAATCAAAGTTAATTTATTTAACTCTAAGTCGGCAGAAAGTTACTTCACTTTTATTATTCACTAATTAAAACAAGTCAAATGATTTTTAACTTTTTAATCATATATCTTAGTTACTAATTGAATTTTATATCATTTATGTTTTTTATACTTTAACTTTGTTTTACTCTATTAGGTAGTTTATGCCTCCTTTTGTTTGTTTTGTAATTATTTATCTATAAAGTTGATTAATTAACTAATAATGTAAATTAGTTTTTGTGGCCTTCAACCTAGTAAGACAAATTCAAACATCCAATAATAATGCTTCAATTGAACAAATTATATAATTTTAACAACGATAAAAATACAAGAAAAAACAAAAAAGTTATATTCAATATTAATATAGGACCTTGTTTTCATGACTTGTTGGGAAAGGAACATAATTATTAAAGGAACAAATGATTGAGGTTGATTGGTTGGACGGTTTCAAACAATTAATTACTTACTCATGATCAAGAATCTTTCTTGGTAAATCCAAAAGAGTGCCTCTAGGAAAACTTGTCCTAGAAAATATTTCAGCAACGTTTGAATTTCTGTGCTTCTCATCTCCTTCCTTTCCACCAGAAGCTAGATGGCTGCATACAAAGCAGAAGCTTGTTTCATGTAAGAGAAATCTCACAGACACTGAACCCTGCAAGTTTGTTAGAGTTGTCAAACAAAAGAAAATTATTATAAATGATAAATGAAATCAAATACAAAATATTGGCTCGGATCCTACGTGCAATCAGTCCAACCAAATTTCAATTTGTTGGATTCGAGCTAGATTATAGCTCGATATACCTGTTGAAGTTTGGTTGAACTGACTGAACGCAGAGGAATTGACGTTAAAAGGACAATTAAAAATTAGGGTTTGATTAGGTTACCTTGTTGCCTAAGCAACCCATGATTCCACATCCAACACAAGAGACACATGGATGCCTTATGAATTGAGTAAGGTCACTTCTAACCCACACAGATATCATTATACCAACCATTTGCTTGCTAATGATACAATGAAAATCTTGTGGGGCTGATTGACACTGCTGACCTGGAATTTTTCCTTTCAAATCTTGCTTTATATTATCATCAACATCATCATCACTTTCAATATCTTTGCAACAGTAGTGATGTGTCCTCTTGTTCAAAGCTTCTCTAATTAAAGAATTCCATTTTTTTGATATCTTGTTATCTTCTGATCCCAATACATTTGATGCTTTTAGTGGCACAATTTCTTGAAACCTAAAATATACATGCATAATATTCATAATCATCTTTTCAACTACACAAAAACTCGAAATAGCGACGCAAATTTGGAGACTAAAATGTCAAATTCCACGCTAACTACGTCGCTAAGTTTCAAAGAAGTTAAATCCGTCTCTAATTTCATCGCTAAGTGTCAGAAGTCAAATTTCTATGATTATTTCAATTTTCTTGTAGTATATCATAAGAAGAGTCTTCAATCATATCAATTTATCAATATTTCTATACCCATGCTAGAAAATCATGAAGTTATTGTTGAAATTACCCGAATACGTAGATATCAAATGACTTGCTGCATGTCTCCAACAAATCCTCAATATTCAACCCTTCATCTGGTGCAATTCCACCTATGTTCCATGTACTCACAAATACCCTTCAATAAATAAACAAAAAATGATATCATAAACTTATAAAAACCATCAAAATTCAATATGCTGCACATGAAATATCAAATAGATAAGAATATAAAACTATTGCATGATGATATGCTTTTTCTTCTTACTTGTACTTTTCGGTATCGCGATGATCATTAAGAATGGAATTGGTGTTTATAGATAACTGATCATCACTTGTGATACCTAATAAAGGATCTGTATAACTTTGATAATCTGCTACAAAATTTCTGCTTCCAAGTCTCTTATGGAGTATCTTATTAGCAACTAATGCTGGCCACATAACCTAAACAAATGATAATAACACAAACACTTTGGTAAAAAAATTAAATGAAAATGATTTTGAAATAAATAAAAAAAAGATGAGAAGTTAAATGATACTTACTTCTACTAGTTTTGCAGGCATGGTATATAAGAAAAAGTGGTTTGAAATGATAATTAATGTAAACTATTGATGATTATAATAGAGGAATGAATTGAAGATATATCATGTTGATGTTAATGAAGAAGAGCTTGAGAAGGAAAAGGAAGAAGACTTTTAATATGACATAAGAGAAAGGTGTACATTTTCTACAATGGTGGTTAAATGTTGTAATATATAGGGAACATTTGACATTGTGAGGGAAGAAAAAACATGGGTCATGTAGAAGATTTGAAATTTTGTGTATGTTGAGGAGTAGAATTTTTTTTATTGTTTTTCATATTTAAATTGTTTGAAAATGTGTGCAAGTGGGAGTGTGGTCCATGCAAAAAAAATATGCAAATAGGAAAAGATATGGCAAAGGATTATGATGAGATTAGGGCTAAATTCGTTTTAAGGAATAAGGGAAGGTATGAAAAAGGAATATGGTTTTTATTGCTAGTAATACTTCTTACATCTAATTAATGATAATCATTATCACTAATTAGATAAATAAAGATAATTACTCCTAATAGTTTTGTGTCTTTCTTTATGTATAATTGAAATTCATAATAATGAATATTATTATATTATTGATTTGTCTAGCTTATTTTAGAAAAAATTATATTACATATGATACCATTAACAAGTTACCTTCTTTACAAATAAATGCATGGTTAATATGTCTTCAAATTGATGTTGTTATCAAGAGACATCAATTTTTTTGTAAGAAAATGATGGCGCCGTTGAGGTACAATCTTGATAAGAATGTTTTGTATTTTAATATTGACTGTTGATATGAAGTAGTGATATAACAAGGTTATTAGACCTCATGTATAATGACAAACTATTTTCTATATGTTTATATGTTTGATGAGATTATAGGAGATTGGATTGTAAACCATTGTATTATCAACGTATAGAGACATTGGCTTTGTTAGAGAATCTAAGCTCAACTAAAAGATCACATAGTCTTAATATTTCATAACAAAGGAGAAATCAATATATGATTTAATAACTATTGCTTGCTTCTTAGTTCTTACACTTTCAAGTGATCAATACATAACCAAGAAGTTATATTTGGATTCAGGTTGGATTTTTAGTGTAGCTTTATGTTGGTTGATTTGGGTGTATAGGAACTCAATTCTTTTTGAAGGAGGGTTATTATATAAGTTTGATGGGTTGGGTATAATAAAGCTTTTGTTCTAGAAATAATTTCTTTTGACTTGTAAATCAGATAAAAATTTATTGTGGTCGGAATAGTGTCTCTCTCTGACGTTCTGTTTAGGAGCTCTTTGAGCTTTCTGTTGTTGGTTTTTGTTCTCTAGATTGTGCACCTCGCGTGTGTTTTTTAATTATTTTCATTTTCATATTAAAAAGTTAATGAAAAATCTCAAAGTATCATAACACATGGTTCAATCAACGTCGTTATAAGCAATTAATTTAATGAAAAAGAATAGGCCTCGTTGAGAGTAATGATGAAAAATCGACAAAACCTACGGCCTAACCTACTTCAATCTCTAATCTCATCAGATTTTTGTTCAAATAGCTTGAATTTTTTTTATTAATAACCATGTATTAAAAAAATATTTCGTAAATAACCGGGTTTCGGAAAAAATTACGCAAATAACCATGTTTCGGATGGCTCCACAAAGGAGGAGCCATCTCAATTGGCGCATGCACCTAGGGTTTTGCCCTAGGCGCCATCTCACTTGGCGCCTCCCTTGGCTTTTAGCCAAGTGAGATGGCGCATGCTCCTTAAAAATGAGAGGAGGCGCCATCTCACTTGGCGCCTTGGGCAAAACTAGGGCAAAATGCTGTTTTATAAATAATGCGTCCGTTTCTTTGAAATGTCTCACACTTTCTCGCGCTGTATTTTTATTTTGTACTATGTTATTTGCGTAATGACGTCGCCTATGATTTTTAGCAGAGATGGTTACGTTATATTCTCCGCCACGAAACCTGCGATGAAAATGAAATTCTGGCACATTCACTCCATGGAGCGTCTGAAGCGGGAGTTGATGCGGTGGCTAGATGGAGACATCGCGGAGGGGGGAAAAATTCGAAGGATCCAGCGAAAACGAACAACAACCTCGCATGCGACAGGAAGACCTAATGGGTGGTTGGAGGAAGTCAAAACAGACAGTGATGTAATGCTGATGATGCATGGGTCAGATGAAATTGTGTTAACAGTTGTAATTTCCTAGATTGAATATCGTTAATCATTGTTGTACGCGAAAACCCTAATGTAATTTCCTATATTGAATTTCCTAAATTGTGTTAACAGTTTTATTAACGGAAAACCCTAATGTTTACAACACAAATATTGAAAATATTTATTGTATTACAATATTTATGTGGTCGAGCCAGACGCCCGATTCGGACAGTTTTTGCGATTGTGTCCGACCTGACGGTATAAACCACACTTTCTTTCCAACCTGTCAAGATCGTCCATTTCTATTGTGATGCGCCTACTTTTGGGACGACCCTTCTTGTTCCTTCGCATTTGGTCATTGTGCCAAACTATATCGCCGTTGTATTCAGGCCAATAGTCCGGTTTTGCCACCAAAGAAAAGTTGTTGTTGTAAACAGTGAGCAACGTTTCAGATTTATAAACGTTTGAGAGCAGTTGAAGCGCGTCTTGATGGGTATGAGCACAAGCGGCAATGACATGAGAGCAAGGCATACGAAATGCTTGAAACCTGCCACAATCGCACCATTGAGAAGGTAAAATGACCCTGTATTCTTGTCTTGCCAGGCCTTCATTGTGGTCGATTGTCTCTTTCACAATGAAGTTGTGGCTGTGTCGGTCAAACCGTGTAACCATGTGAGTGTTGGCTTTAGCACTTTCAGCCTTAATGTATTTCATACAGCTTTCACTCCATAGTTGTCCTGATTGCAACACCGCATACCACATTTCACCTCTTTTGGCAAATAACGCAGCCATCCTAAAATATGTGGATTTTACCAAGGCAGTGATTGGGAGGTTTCGTATGCCCTTGAATACCCCATTCATTGATTCAATAAGATTCGTTGTCATATTCCCCCATCTTTGGCCATTGTCGTATGACCTAGTCCACTTTTCGACCGGTATATTGTCGATCCACGCACCGGCTTCTAGATTAGACAAACGGATCTCGTTGCGGTAATATTTGAATGTGGGTTGTGTCAATGCATACTGGGCCTCCCTATCGACGGTAAGGCGGTGAACGGGTCGGTTCAACAACCCAACTCACAGTGTGAAGAACTGTTGGGTAGGGATATGGTAGAAGGTGGTGGAGCAAGAGGGCAGGGAATACTACTCACTGACCTGAAACGTCATTATGCAAGTATGGAATTAAATGAAAATTCCTCAGAGAATGACCGAGTAGTAAAAGCCAGAACGTATATTATGATACTTTTTGGTACATTTTTATTTCCCGAAAGTACGGGAAATAGTGTAAATTTTATGTACTTACATTTACTAATAAATTTTGAAAAAACTAGAAAATATAGTTGGGGTTCTGCAGTATTAGCCCACCTATACAGTTCCTTGTGCAAAAACGCAGTCAAGGAAAAATGTACATTTTATGGGTGCGCATTTTTACTACAAGCCTGGGGTTGGTGGAGGATGGAGTCCTTAAACCCCATTAACAACAACACTTTTGGTTTCCCGTACGCAACAAAGTAAGTCATTTATAACTATTCTGCTCTTTCCAAAATATATGCTAAAAATAACATGTTTCTCATTTCCTTTAGGTACTGCGTGAGGGGTATGGATTACGGCAAGAATCCAAGATTCAATGTCGCACTCTACCGGAATCTGTTGGATCACTTAGGCCCAGATGACGTACGTCGTAGCTTTTAACTTTTGTTCGTTTTAATTATTTATACATTACTTTTGCGCTAACCTGATTTAAATTTTATCGCAGTTTGTCTGGAGACCATATTTGGGTTTGGGCCATGCTCCAAACCCAGAGGATGCAGCAACTTGGACTGCAAAGACTGCACTCATTCGGTTCAACATTGTGGAGATGCACCACAGCGACCGTGTGAAGATGCAGTTCGGAATGCATCAAGAGATACCAAGTGATCCAACAGATTTGTCCCCCTGGCATCTTAAAAGGGTCGACGCCCAGTGGGGTCTTACCAACTGGAAAGACTTTGCTCCGGAATGGTGTAAAATGTGGCAAAGGCGTCACCGCTACATCTTTCAATCCCCGGTTTTCCTTACTCAAGGTAACATGCGACACACTGATCAATATATGTCGTGGTACAGGTCGGTTAGTAACCCAGAAATGCACGTGTCTCATCCGAGGTACTTGGTTGACCCACACACACAATGGGCACAACCCTCGATTCCCTATCAACAAACCCAAAACCCATCAACCTCCAACCAACCCCCAAGAAGAAACAGACCAACAAACACCCAACCACATTCACCACCACAACACAACTACAATCAAATGTCGTACTACCAACCACAATCACCACCAAACTACCAATACCCGGATATGCCTCAAACCCAACCACAATACCAACCCCAATACCAGCACACCCACATACCCCAGACACAATTTCAGTCTTCCACATATCCCAATATGGCGCCCTCAACATCCAGCCTTAGCCCTGATATGGGAATGTCAGAAGATTATGACCAAGCCGACCAAACCTACCATCAACCACCATATCACCAAACAACCCAACATCCACAATACCAAACACCCCAAGATCCATTTCCTTTCTACCCCCCATACTCAGACGACCAATGTTACCGACCAACCATGGAACCCCACCCACCGCCAACACGACCAAACTTTGAGGGTATGGGTAACCGACTGTACCAGAGCGGATCTTCGAGATATGGAGATCTTACTGATTTTATGGATTTGGATCGCATTGACTTCGTTGAGACATCGACCTTGCCGCAGCAGGAAACGCGACGGCACCCAGCAAGAGAAAGGCGAGGACGGGGATGCGGAACCGGGGGTCATTACCGGGTTCCGGGGGATCACTGATGTATCTTT